TTCTCTGCTAACATTACTGTGCAATTTCATTTCTATCTGCTCCTCCTAAACTGATTGTCTTCACCCTGCATCTCCCTGTGTGTGAGTGTGTGTGTGAGTGTGTGTGTGTGTCCTCTGCCAGCGTTTACCAACACATGGCTCCCCTCCCCGCGGGCTCAGTCCACGTCCCAGCATCCATTTCCCACTTCTGCCTTTTCATCACAGCGCTGACGCCGAGGAACATTGTTCCTGATTGCGAGGCAGATGCCATTATCCCCAGCTTATATCTTCACAATCACATTAGCCATTTGCACAGCTGGGCACTTAAACGGCAGCAAGGCAGGTTAGCAGCTCACTGGCGGGGACAAAGTGATGGAGGCCCACCTGGAGATCAGGCCTGGGCCTGTGCTGGGCTCCGTGCCATGACCACAAACACAGAGGGCACTTTCTTACCTTTAACTAATGGCTCTCTCTCTCTCCGTCTTCCCAGTGCTCACCTCTCAGTTTGTCAGTTCAGGCCAGCACTAAGTCTTCTTTAACCTTCTCTAACTCCCCCTTGATTCCTGCACATTGTTTCTTTCTTTCTGCAAACTCAATATATCTGCGAGCCCTCAGGCTCTCCATACGTCTTCCTCTCTGTTCTCTCACACCAAAGTTTTACTCTGCAACTTCTCCGTTCCGCCCAAACCCAGTGCACGTAAGATGTACGTTCTCAGCAAATAGAAGAAATAAGGTGAGAGGGATGAGGAGAAGTTGGTGAGGGGGACGTGTGTGAGCACGGTGGGCCGACACTCAGGCAGCCAACCAGGGAGAAGAAGACTCACACACATTTTTACTCCCACTTATGGAAGGAGGATTAGCCACATGTGACCTTTTTCTTTTCCAGAATTCTGAGATTAAACCTAGAGGATCATGGTCATGGGGAAAGACTTTGTTTTTAAAAACAGGAACAATTAGGACAATTAGTCCAAAACTCACGTTTTTTCAATTGTTATTTATTTGTCAGTAAGATGTTATCTCCCCATCTTACTGAAAATAGAGGTTTTGGTTTTTTTATTTCTACTGAAAAGTGAGATCATAATGTTTTATTCTATTCTGGTAACTTGAAGAAAAAAATGGGACACATTTGTTATATCATTTTTTTTATAATTTGTTACTGCTTCCTTGCTACTTCATTCTCAGAGTTTTTTTGTTGATGACCAAAAAGTCTAAACAAAAATGATGAAATGACTCATAGTTGAAACAATAATCATGATTAATCCACAACAGTGATGAATCAGATTAAACACTTGATTGTGTAAAATAAATGTGTAAGATAAAGTCATTGTCCTCACTTTAGTATCAACATTTTTAGACATAAAAACTACGTCTCTCAATATTTAAAGTTGTTTTATATTAAAACCCAGGAATTAAAGGATCGATCAACCAGGATCATTTACTAAAACTGACACTAATCATTAAACCCAATCATGATCATCTGATTTGAATCCATTACGTAGCTTCAAAGCTGGGTTGGATCCAGAAAGAGACGAGGAAAAACAGGAGGAGAATTCCAGAGGGAAGACTGGAGAATTCCCAGCGAAGGTGAAACCAGCACATTTTCCACTGGAATATTGCTTACACTGGGAAAGGAGTGGGTTAGGAAATCGATATGAAGCCAACAAGGACATATGAAAGTGTTGAGGATGATTGATGATAACAAAATATCTGAATAATCAATATGCCTATAGCTGCTGTTCATGAATTAATCACACGCCAAACGGACAAAAAGACTCAGAGCCGCGGTAATCGGTTCCAGTCACAGGGAACCGATGTCTGCAGGAACTTCAAAAACTTATTTTAGTTTTATACAGGCTAAATTTAGAGTGGAAATAAGTTACATTTAAAGCAAGTTCCAAATATATTCTATCTACTCCAAACTAGCAGAAGAAGAAGAGCAAACCAATCTACTCCAAACTAGCAGAAGAAGAAGAAGAAGAGCAAACCAGGACGTGATGTACAAGACTTTTAAAAGTTGCTCATTTAAAAGTTTAAAATGTAAATAAAAATACTTTCAGTTTTGTTTTTTTTTAGTCAGTGTTTGAACCTGAGGACCACTGTTGTGCAGCTGCAGCTCCTGCAGCCAATAGGCATTCATAACCGGCACATGGCAGTGTGCAAATTCAACAGAACTAATATGTCCAATAACTTCTGACAGCAGGAAGCTCCCCCAGTCACATGGTCAACGGAGAACACTCTCACACACACACTAAGCACATCATAAATATGCATTTGCACCTCTGCTGTTGGAGATGGGACCAGGAAACATATTAACTGTCACCGTCTATGTTTCCATCGCTCCTTCACTGGCTCTGTGTGCTGGGCAAGTGCAACAGGAAGCCAGAGATCATCAGTTTATGGAGGGAATGGGAGAGCGTGCGGCACTTTCCCTCCTGAGTGTGAGTCGACAAAAGGGTGACAAATGATCCAGTGGAGCCGCACAGATCTGCGCTGCAGCAGCGGCGGCGAGGAGGAGGAAGAGCTGGCGGTGGAGTCGGGAGGAAAAGTGATGTTACTCCGTCTTTTATCCACCCTTCCACTCCGGTCGCCACAGCAACATGGCCGCGGGGCACTCAGGAGAGGCGTCATGGCTGACAAAAACAACACAGCGGCAGGAAGTGACTGAGAGCAAACGAGAGCAAACTAGACAGACGGGGAGTGTGAAGGAGAGCCGAGAGAGGGACGCAGCAGCGGGCAGTCCACGCCGGACTCTGGACCCAGATCTGCACAGTCACACCAGCGAGGCTTTGACCTTCAGGCGCCGGGCCAGGAAGTTTAATGAAGACTCATTCGTCTCTCTGATTAATGTCGGGATAGAGCGAGCGAACGTCTCGGCTGCGGCCACGACAACCGTGTTTATGGGTGTAAAAAATCACTGATATTCTTCTGGCCCCAAATGAAGCTATTAGGAGATATGAATTTTGGAGGAGTTAATCAAAACCGAGGCTAATGCTTAATATTTGGAATTAACAGATCCATTAATACAGCCGGCTGCTGCCGCTGCTTGGGCTTGATAGAGTGGTTAAACCACCACAGGCTAAATTAAACAGGTTAATTAAAGTCTCCAAATTTTCGTATACTCCACACACACACACACTGTGCCTGTGGCCGTCTGCTGAGTTCACCTATTTTGTCAAATTAATCATGATTCTGACCCTGAACCCACGACCTGTGTTGTATTGTATGTCTGATATATAATCTCATTACTGTGAACCTGCTCACACTCACACCTGAACGTCAACTCTTCTACTAATCCACCGCATAGAGAGGCTCAGTAACTGTAACTCAGTAACTGTCTCTGAGGTCATCTACGGCCACTGCACAGGAGACGTTTAGGACTAGTATAGTAAGTAAGCAAAGTATTTGTTGTAGTAGTATAGTATTTTTTTTATCTTGATATCTTGATTTTATCTTGAGTTATTTTTTCTTCAGCTTAAGACACAGAACATGTATATGTTCAGTACCTGTGTCAATGTCAACTGCAGATATAAATTCAGCTCCATAAGTCATGACTAGTTCAAGTCCCCAAGTTCAAGTTCAAGTCCCTGACTGTTCTTGTCAGTCAAGAAAGACTTTCAGTGAGACCAGATTTAGCTCCAGAGTAGTTTCAGGTTTTTATAGTATTTTGTAAACATAAACATGAACACAACAGTGTGTTTGATTATATCTTTATATGTAAGTTTGATAATTAAAAAATACCAAAAATCAGTGAGAAAACGTTTCTAACTTAGTCCCAAGTCCTGGACTCAGCTCCAGTCTCACTGGTGTGGCTTTATTTCAGCTCCAGTCTCACTGGTGTGGCTTTACTTGTGAATCTGTTACAGTGAATCTCCACTCAGGTCCACAGAAACCCTGGTAGATCAGAGTACAGTACAGTACAGTACAGTACTGTGGAGTGAACAGGTTGGTCTCATGTAGAGGCTGGTCCTGCCAGAATCCACTGTCGTCTCCGTTTGTTCATTAATTTGTCACCGCCGCTTCCCCGCTCTTTTTGCCTGTCGGCACATATTTGATCAGAGGCCTTGAAATGATTCTGTGATGACAATGTCAACTCAGAGCGGAAGAATTTCCAGCTACAAAGTAAAACATACTTTTGAACAAAAACACCAGCCATGGATTGGTAGATATTTATCTAAGCTGTACTTTTGATGGAGCCGTTTTGCTACGTTTATGGCTAAGCTTTAGCTATGACTAATATAATATTAGTAATAATAAAATAATCCCAGTCCAGATTGGTCAACTACAGCCTAGTTAATGTGGCTGCATCCAAAAACAACAAAACAGACTTATTATTTCATGACTTGAATTACAACCACACGTTCAGAAACCCCAGCAGAAGCAGCAGTTACCCCTGGGGTATTTTCTGGTTAGTGGTTGTGTAGTAAGAATTACACAAAGGTGTTTTATTTGTTCTACCTGACGGATGTGGTTTGTTCTTCCTTGGGCGGAAACTTGACGTATATTTTTTTGATATAAAAAGCCAGCCACACCTTGACCCCTCCCTCTTTCCTCGGACTTTGTGGCAGAGGTCAGTGTTTTTCTGTTGCTCCTTGGGGTTGTTTTTTTTTAGCATTTTATTTAGTTTTTCCACAATATATTTGTTTCAATGTATATTTTGTAGGGACTCGAACAGTGTCCAGGAGGAAGATTATAGTTATTTTGTGTCTGTAGGAACTCAGTCAGATTATTAAAGACGGTTGTCACAGCAGCACGACGGACGGCTACACCGATATAATCCTAGTCTCAATCCAGATCAATCCAGATCTCCCCAAACTAACACCCTGAATACAAACTAAGAAATATGTATATATATATGTATATATCAGTATGGCTGCACCGTGAACACACACACACGGTGTGTGTTTGAGGGGGCGGGGCGGCAGAATAGATGGACATGTGAGCGCATCTCCACCATCAGGGGGCGGGTTTGTGTTAGTGTGGATCTATACGTGTGCGTGCGCGCCGTGAACGAGGCTGCTGCTGCTGCTGCTGCTGCTGGTGGTGATAATGACAAGAGCTGCGACAGACACACACACACCTCTCTCTCTCACACACACTCACACCTTCCTTGGGAGACGCAGCGTCTTGGAAGCGACTTTAAAGCGGAGCGGAGCAGAAACCAGAGCAGCGTCCTCCGCTGTGAGCTTTGACTCTGTCCTGCTTTGTTTTCATCTTTTTATCCAGTGACAGCCCGGGCTCTCGCTCCGTCTCTTCAGTACGAAGCAGACTTTTGTCAAACAATAGGAGTTAGTCGAAAGTGTGGCCATATTTTTTGGTACAGGTGCAGAAAACCTCAGGTGGATGTGGTCGCGATGGAGTTGAAGAAAACGTAACCACGCTGAAGTCTCCCTGATTCAAGCCGTCGTTAAGGTAACTGGGAAGTTGAAAAAAAAAACTAAAAAAAAAACTAAAAGGCTTCATTGACCGCTGGGATGTTGTGAAACCAAGCGTCTGTCTGTGGGACAGAAGGAGCAGAAGGAACAGCAGGGAACCCGGGAACCTGGACGCGCAGCCGGAGAGAAAGACGCAGGGATTATGGCTCTGACTACGGTTCTGCTCAGCCTCACCACACTGGCGTTTACCAACCTACACCTGTCGAGAGCCAGCAACCGGCATGCGGTGTACTGGAACAGCTCCAACATACTGTGAGTGCTTGTAATTATTTCTTATTTTATTATTTTTTTATCAACTTGTGTTGTTCTTTGTCTCTGCACACATGCGCTGGGGAGTTAGTTTTCTCCCCGGCACTCACTGTCTGCTGCAGCGTGTTTCTATTGTTTACACACGTCCGGCAAATAATAATATTAATAATAGTAATTGTTATTTTTATTATAAAAAAAAAATACAGAAAACGAGACGCAAAACGCCCCAAACAATAAACATGACACAGTCTAATTAGCGTTTCTAATTGTTTTGTTACTTCCGGTGAAAAGTCGCTACTTAGAAAATAACCTCTGTTGACCACTAGAAGGAGCCATTTTTCTTTTGAGGCCTTTTTTAAAAAATGTATTTTCTTACCTTTTGTGTTTGGGGGGGGTGCAAACTTTTCAACAGCAGTCAGATTTGTTTCAGTAAAAACAACATAAGGACCGTAAACCTCTAATTATGTTTTTATGCAAATGCATGAAATGTTGTTACATTAAAGAACCCGTCCAGTATTTACAAATGTATGTGTTTTATATTGAATAATGCGTGAAAAAAAAATTAGACAAAAGTAAATACATCTTTTGGTTAATTTTATATTGAATAATGCGTGAAAAAAAATTAGACAAAAGTAAAAAACATCCTTTGGTTAATTTTCACTTTCATTTATTTACACCAGACGGATAATATTAAAATGAGGATGAGAGGATTCAAAACTTGGGGCTGGTGTGATTTATTGGTTTTGTTTGTTCATCATGGCAGGTCATAAATAATGTGCATCCCAGTGTGAGACTAAGAAAAGACCTGTTTGAGGTCCAAACGAGTCCCTGGACTGGACTGCAGACCCGTTGGGGGGGCCGACAATTGTTTGTGTTGGTAGATGGAAAAGAACTGATGTTGTTGCTGATGTTGGTGAATTAATGTGAAAGTGCTTCATGTTTTCAGTTTGTTCACTGACTGATCCATTGTTGATTTTAAAGCCGTTGCTGATCATTTGAAGTATATGTGACATATATTTTATATATAATAATAATAATTTGTACTAATAGTTGTGTTAGCAGCAGATCTGCTGAATAACAGCAAAAATCTCATGATGTGGAAATAACTATTTACTTCTGTAGCCACAGGTCTTTACCACAACATTAACACTGGTCTGGATGTTGTGACTTGATTAACCATTATCTTATATACGTGACTAATTAATTAGTCAAAAACCAAAATTTTCTATGAATTACCTGGCAGTTAAAGTGATCGTTTGCGTATCCACGCTGCAGTTGTGTGATTTCATCTTCCTAGTTTTCAGCCTTGTGTCTTTGCAACTAAAGAAAAGTTGTATCTGTCGTTGTCCTTGACCTTGAGCGTCTCCAGGTCACATTTACCTGATGACAAACTGCTGTGATCCCGTCACAGCACGGTGGTGCATCTGTAGTTGGACACATCTATTCTCTGCCCCGGCCTGTGAGCAGAGTGGCTCTGACATAAATATTTGATTTCTATCTCACTTCAAGTCCATCTCCATCTCCAGCCTCACAGTAATGACTCATTTGGGCCGTCATCACTCCTTCCAGACACACACACTTCCACTTGTGTGTTTCCTGTCACCGTACCTGCTGCCGCGCAGCAGCCATAGTCTGCATAATTCATACACGTGCAGCTCAGGGTCCCATAGATCTGCATGAGCACGGACCCTCACCATAAATAAGTAGAGCTGACACAGAGTAGACTTTATATAATAAATGGACAGACCCAGCTGTACTTCTTAGGAGAGTGTAGACCACGGTCTCAGATTCACTGTTACTGTTATTTCATTGGGTGGGGGGGGCATTACAGTGGGATGTTGAATTAAAAAAAAATGTTTTAAGTAGTTCTAAAGATAAATGATTTGTGAGACTGCAGTGCTAATATACAAATAAAATATTTGGCAAAATTAAATTAAAATTTCCATCTACATGTGGGTTGGATGTGAGTGGTCCGCGGGCCAGAAAAAAAATAGAATGAGGAACTTGAATTACCTCTTTCACTCTTTCACTGGAGATCTTGGTGTTGGTTGATGAACAAGTTTACTGCGGTTCTTTGCACCCTGCTGGTTAGTGTAGGTAATACAGCAAAAAAAACTGAATACTTTGGCTTTGGTGAAACAGCTGATCATCTGGACTGAGCTGTGGTCAGGAAGAAGTAAAACAATAGGCAGAAGAAGACATTGATTGGTCAGTGCACCGGCACCTCCTCCTCTGGCCACGAAACATTTAGCATTTTTTACCTCTTGTTTTTGCTTCGTTAACTGTCACGTCACTTCCTACTTCTGGATCAGCTCTTGTTTTTGCTTCGTTAACTGTCACTTCCTACTTCTGGATCAATTGGATTTCTTGTGACCAGAGTTTGTTTGTTTGGTTTCCGTCAGAATTTAGATTAGCTTTGCTGGGATTAGCGGAGTGTTTCACTGCTGTTCTTTTGTCGACACCATAAAAACCTAACTCTTCTACCACGTAGTCATTTGATCTGGTCTGAACATGTTGTGGATCTGTGCCGTGTACGTCTGGACTGTCAGGCTGAAGTATTAAATGTGAAATACACACAGACTGAGTCATCTTCTACGCTCACTTTCCCCCGACCACACAGGGGTTGCGTACCTCATGTCAGCTCTCCGTGTCTCTCCACCTGTGAGGTATAAACTCGGCTCTCTGTGAGGCAGAGATCGATGTGGATTCCTGGGCCTGTGTCTTCTCATTAGGCATCAGTGAATCCATCTTTCTCTCACATTTCTTTATCTCCCGTCTTCTCAAACGCTCGCCCTCCTCCCCCGTCTCTCCTCTCTGTGTCTGCCTTCGTCCTCTGTCTATTTGTATTCACCTCAGTCACAGGTCTGTCCTCTCACCTTCTCTATCTCATACTTGCTTATATCCGTCCCTCTCTTGTTTTTTTTTCTTCTTCTGTGTCCCACCAGCCGGCCTGTCCCCCTCAATTCCCTCTTCCTGCATCTCATTGCCGGCCCCTCCATCTGCTCCTGGTCTGCCATCCACCTCCCAGACTCTCAGCTGAGAGAACACACACACACACACACACACACACACACTGGCTGATTAGAAATTGTGTTAAAGCTGTTGGAATGTATGTGGATGTGTGTGTGTGTGGGGGGGGCGCGGGGGGTTGGAATCAGTGAAGGTGATGCTGCGGCTCCGTCACATTAACGCCTGAATGGCTCCAGAAAAAAAAAAAACTTTTTCAGATTTATGACTGCAGTTAATCCCTGTCAGAGTGACATGAATGGAGGAGTGGGCTATTAAGTCAGATTCAGGGGCATTTAAGTGTTGATAAAGTGCACACTGAATGTCATCATCAGTATTAGTTCCTACAGATTTAATTAGCCTGGGTGTGTACACGTGTGTGTGTGTGTGTGTCCTGAAATGATTGTCACTGCTCTGTCTGCTGTGGTCTATTAGCCTGTTAGCACATTCCGTGGCTTTAGATTGACATGCATGTGTTGCAGTGACAAATGTGTGTCCATATTAATGAACATCACTGTGAGAGAGAGAGGAAATGACACAGAGAGAGGGAGAGAGTGAGAGGGGAGGGAGGGAGGGAGGGAAACAGAGTGAGACAAAGTGCAGGTGTGGGTCCACATGCCTGCGTGGGCAAAACCAGCCTCTTCCTCCCAGTGAGATACAAATCTCTAAAATAATGCAAGAATTGACCCAGTTTGCAGGTAGCAGACAAATCCACCGAGGCTGTGGCCAGAATACTGATGGCCGTCAAGCTTTAGAAGGCCCCGCGCTCGCGGCCACTTTTCCACTTTTCTGTCCACGTGCAAAAGAAAACGAGCTGAAGTCGTCACCTGTTCAATGATGCGGCGCCTTCCCTGGTGCTGGTCTGGTTGTAGAGACAAGCTCAGGAGGGAGCAGTTAGGGGTGGACGCTTTGACAGAGCCAGAGGAACCAGAGGAACCTGCAGGGCCAACTTGGACCTGAGACCCTGACGTGGGTCCTCCAGGACAGCATCCAGCACAGATGGTGATGACACAGCTGCTCAGAGTTAGATCAAATGGACTCTGAGCATGATAACACTCTTCCTCTGGTCTGGTGAAGGTCAAAGCCCAACATTACTTAGTAGAATAACTAACCAACTAGTCAACAAAGCCAGAGTAGAAGCTGGTGGAGCTCCCAAAATCTACAGGATTACAAAGAAAAGAGCTGCGCAGCGGCAGTTGGAAATGTTTGTTAGCGACGTTAACTTCTCTCACTCTTTTGAAATGACCATTGGATTTTATTGCCAATAATGAGTAAAATATAGCAGAAGCCATTTTGCACAGTGATGCAAGTTTCATTGTTGTAAAAAAACAACCCAAAAATAACAGTTCCAGCAGAGAAAATGACTGACAGCGACACAGCTGACCCCAGAAGCTGTGCCTTACCTTTTCCCCACGTGTCAGTCCCCAGACCGCTCTCCATATGTTTCCTGTCAAAAGTCCACTATGGCATGGAGACATTTTTGACATTTTCGTTTCACTAAACTGACATCTGACAAACTTTTTATTTTTTTCTGCCACTGAGCTGCTGATTTATCGCGGTTCCCGTCAGGTAACCAACATTAAACAAGTTATTTCAGCATATTTCCTCGGCTTCTGACAACTGAAAATGAGTTATCTCCATTATCATAACCCGGCGAAAAAGCTCGGAGTGCTTTGATTACCACCCGAGTCTGTCACGACCGCACTACCCCCCATTAGAAAGTGTTGCTCTCAGCTTCCTCTCTCAGCAGTGCGCCTGGCCAACTCGTTACAGATGTCCCCGCTAATGGCTGACTGAGGCAGGAAAAAACACACGCAGGCCATTAAATCATCTCGCATCTGAGGCCATCTGCCAATTAGAGGGGGTAGATGCGGAACATCTTGAGAGCACGCGGGAGCAGCGGTGCACTGCAGTAGCCTCGCCTACATACAAGCAGCATTCCATGCTCCTGCCACCTCTTCCCATCAGGTGTTTGGCCTCGCTGGTTAGACAGGCTG